GGCCAGCCGTCACTTCCCATTTTCCAATTTTTAACAGTTAAGCATTTAAGAAAAAGTCTAAACATGATAAAATAAATCCGAAAATAACAACGATAACATAAATACGCTGAAGAATACCCATACACAGCCCTAACCGGTGTATCACTAGTCATGAGTATCTATAAGTCATAATACAATTCTGCTAAATTCATAACTAGTACAACTGTCTGAAAGGAAATAAAAGCGATAAAAAGAGTAGAGACACGGGGCTGCGGACGTCAACTTCTACCTCATAATCTCCGAAAGCCCGCCTGAAGCTGGAGGAATCAGCACTCGGGAGCGGAACCAGCCACGCCTGAATCTGCACACAGGGTGCAGGAAGTAAAGTGAGTACTCCAACTCAGTGAGTAACAAATGTAAATAATAACTGAAAGTAAGAAAACACGTAAGGCACAAGGCATTCTATAATGAAACAGTAAAACAGTGGAAAGTCAAGTAAAATCCTCTTTCAACACATAATCAAGAAATTGACAGGTAATTAAGGTAAAGTAAACAAATATAAGTTCGCCCCTCGGGCACAGTATCACCACATCCGCCCCTCGGGCAACAATTCAGAACAATAACATCCCCTCGGGCTCAATCTCACATCACAATGGGTACTCGCGCTCACTGGGGGTGTGCAGACTCCTAGAGGGGCCCCTTACGGCCCAAGCGCAATAACAAGCCATCTCGTGACATCAAACTAGGCCCTCGGCCTCATATCAATCAAGTCACCTCGTGGCGTGAATATCTCAGGCCCTCGGCCTCAAATCAGTATCAGTGTTTCCTCACAACATAGGCCCTCGGCCTTACTCAGTCAAAAATCCTCACAAGCCCCTCCGGCAATAGTAAAACAGTGTCTCTCAGCCCAAACATCATTTAAAATGTCATTTAAGTATGAAAACTGAGTAAACATGGCTGAGTAGTAAAATAGTGGAGAATAACATGATTGAGTTCAAGTATAAAGTCAAAATAGTGAGGAAATATCAATAAAAATCCCCGAAGGGTTCAAATAGTTGGCACTAGGCCCAAATATGACATTCAACCCAAATAATGATGATAGCAAATAGTTTTCAATCAAATACGCGGTAAAATCATCAATCGGGATGGACTAAGTCACAATCCCCAATAGTGCATGAGCCCACGCTCGTCATCAAGCATGTGTCTCACCTCAATATAGCACTACGATGTGCAAGCCGAGGTTTCAAACCCTCAAAACATCATTTACAATCATTACTCACCTCGACCCGGCTAAATCTCTAGCTCGCGACGCCTTTGCCCCTCATATCGGCCTCCACGCGTGTCGAATCTTTCCAAAATAAGAACGAGGACATCAAAATATGCTAAAGAAACAAAGCCCAAGTGAAAACAATCAATAAAGGGTACAAATCCTGAAATTACCAAAACCCGAACCCCGGGCCCATATCTCAAAAATCAGAAATTTTCACACCAATAGATTCCTTATCTCCCCGCGAGTTCATACATATCAAAAGTTCTCAAATCCGACCCCAAATGATCCTTCAAATCCCAAATCAAAAGTCCAATTTCTCAAGCCCTAGTTCTTCAATTTTTAGGCTTAGCTTTCATGATTTTCTAGGTGGAATTCGCATAATAATCGAGTTTTTAGTCCAAGAATTTACCTCCCAATGATTCCCCTTGAATCCCTCTTCAATCTCCTTCAAAAATCTCCAGAAATGGCCAACTATGGAGGAAATAAACCCAATCCTCGCGGACAAGACGAGTTTAAAAACATTTCTGCCCAGGCATTTTTCTTCATTGCGATCGCAGAACATCCCTCACGATTGCGAAGAACAAATCTTCACTTCCCAAAATTTACTCTATGCGAATGCGACAAAGCCTACGCGAACGCGATGCCCAGACGACTTAACACTACCCGATCACGGACACCACTCCGTGTCCGCGATGAACAAAGACCAGCCAAGCCCCCAGGTCCATTTAACTCTATGCGAACGCGACTACCTTCCCGCGTTTGCGATGAATGACCTTCCCATGCTATGCAATCGCGAGCCTCTCTTCGCGAACGTGAAGAACAACTGGACAGCCACCTCAAAACCTTATACGTGATCGCAGGACTCCCCTCGCGATCGCGAAGGGCAAAGTTTTGCAACATTTGAACCTGCAATTTCTGCTATCTTCCCAACTCCAAAATGATCTGAATGACCACCCGAAACTCACCCGAGGCCCCCAGGATCTCAACCAAAGGCACCAACATGTCCTATAACCTTATTCAAACTTGTTCTAATCATCAAAATACCTCGAACAACATCAAATTACCCAAAACACATTGGATTCAAGCCTAAGTTTCTAAAATCTTCCAAATTATTCTTTTGATCAAAAACCCAACCAAACCATGTCCGAATGACCTAAAATTTTGCACACACATCCCAAATGACACAACAGAACTACTGCAACTCTCGGAATTCCATTTCGATCCCTATATCAAAATCTCGCCTATCTACCGAAAATCGCCAAAATATCTTCACCAATTCAAGCCTAAATCTACTCTGAACCTCATTCCGATCACACTCCTAAGTCACAAATCAACTCCCGAAGCTAACCGAACAATCGGAATTCACTTCTGAGCCCTCTAACACATAAGTTAACATCCGGTTGACTTTTTCAACTTAAGATCCCTCAAAAGAGACTAAGTGTCTCAAACCTTGCCAAAATTATTCCGGGCTCGATCCGACCAACCTGATACCACAAAACACAGATAACGAAGCATAAAGAAGTAAAAATAGGGAAAATAGAGTGGTAACTCATGAGACGACTGGCCGGGTCGTCGTAGAAAAATATTGCGACAATCGTAGTATTTTATTTTAAATATTTAAGTGTACAATCTCTATGAATCCTCTTATTCTTCTTTTCAATAGTAAATAAATTCAAAGGCTTTTGAGCTTGATCTTGAATCTATATTTGTTGCCACGAACGATGATCTTGAATTAAACTAGCACGAACTTTGATTTGAACTTGTACTCCTTGAACCTTGATTTGTTCTTCGTTCTTGAGCTTCAACTTCATTTGTTCTTCGTTTTTGAGCTTGATTTCTTGAACTTGAACTTAATTTCTTGAACTTGAACTTTATTGCTTGAAGCTTGAAACTTGTAGAGAAATTTGTGGCGTTTGATCCACGAGCTCTCTCTTGCTTCTTGTTATAACTTCTGGTATCTTTTCTGGGTTATGAAGACCCCTTATTTATAGTTGTGGGAGAGAAGAGTTATGATTAGAACAAACTCTTTCCGACCAATCAAATCGAAGTGTGATAAGGCTACATTTGATTGGCCAGAATATGTCACTTGCACACGTGGCGCGATTTCATTGGCCTTTTAAATTGCCTTGGCATGCCTTGTCATTTTGACACGTGGCGTGATCCTATTGGCTCTTCTGTTTGACTTGGCGTGCCACATCATTTGACACGTGATACTAAACTGGGCCTCTGGGAAACATCTTGGGCTTAATGAAGTGGATTCATCACTTTAGCCCAATTAAATGGGTTAGTCCAATGGATTAAGACTTATTTATTTAATCAATATATATTGGATTTACATAATTAAAATTATTCAATTATATTAGCTCATAATATTTATTTGGACCAATGTATCTTGAATTTTAAAATATAATCCAAATTATTTTATGGATTTAATTTTAATAAAATTTATATGCCTACAATATTAAAGTCAAATCTTAACCTGTATGTACTACCATCATGCTGCGTTAAAGCTGCTTTAAGGAAAAATGAAGCAGCAAGATATAGAAGCAGCATCTTCACAGGAAATAACACCAAAATTTTCAAAATTTCTCATAATTTGACTGCAAAAGAAGCTGCAACGGTAAAATTTCACATACTTGGATGACTTAGAGGAATGCGAATAGGAAGCAATGACATCATGGGTGTGTTTAGTATAACAGAAAATATTTTTCGTAAAAAATATTTTTCAAGAAAATATTTTCTTGGAAAATAAGTAGTAATCTTACTCATTTTTCGGTGTTTGGCACACAAATAAGGAAAATAACTTCTCAAGAGTATTCATAAATAATTTAGATACAATAAACATGAAGCCATAAACTTTAGAACCAACAACTTTTTGAACCCACAAATTTCATAAACATCCGAACCGATAAACTTTCGAAACCGCAAACTTTCGAACCAGTAAATTTTATAATTTCTAAACCCGTAAACTTCCAAACACATAAACCTCCAAACTCATAACTTTGGAATTTGTAAAATTTTGAACCTATAAGTCGAAAGATGAAAAAACTATAACTGAAAATATATATAAAAAAATATTCTTTTTCGGTTGGTGTTGGGGGGAGGGGGGTTGGTGGTACAGAAAATCGCAAAAACAGAAATCTGAAATTACAAAAAAAAAAAAAGTAAAAAAAATAATTATTTTTGCGAGGGGTAGTAGCTGGGTGGGTGGTGACGGAAAAACAACGGAAATTTGAAAAAAAAAAAACCTTTTTGGAGAGAGGGGGTCGGGTGGGTTGGTGAGGGTGAGGAAGTTAGGAGTTTTGGAAAATGTTTTACCTTCTCTTGATAAGGAAAATATTTTCCTTCAATTGATGGAAAATGAGTTAATAGGAAAATATTTTCCAAAACATTTAAGCCAACCAAACATAGAAAAATTGGAAAACATTTTTACCAAACACACCCCATATCTTTAAACTTACAAATTGAAATAATACATACCGACATAAGGGGGTGAACTCTTTATCGGAAGAACAATGGACGCGGAATTTTTTCGTCACACAACATGAAAGAAGAAACAAAAATTAAATTTTAAGAAATAAATTGTTGTAGATGATTTAGCTTCCAAAATTGATCAAATTGAGCATTGATGAAAATTGCCCAAAAAACTGTTACAAATGGTGTATGAATCATAAGCACTCCCAAGAAAAAGGACAAGGGATCAAAGGAACTACAGTACATATTTTCTGTGATAGACATTACATAGACAATGAGAAAAAGGAGGAGATACTCTACTTGAATAATTTACATACTTCCCAACTTTGTCGAAATTATAGCTTTTTCCCCGCTTGTTCTTCTCCTAGCTTAATAGAGGAAAGAAATGAATGCACAGTTGACCAAATCTTGTGAGGCAAAACATGATGTCTAAACTCAATCACCTACTAATATGTACACTAGCAAGATCAAAAAATTGGACGATGTTCAGTGATCAGCTACATATGATAAAGCTCCACATTTTGGCTGGATTGTTTGATGCTGAACCAATATGCATCGTTGGCTGCTACCCGTCTCATGATTTATAGGATGCCTTATGAATGCTGTCAGAAATCATTTTGAGCAACAATGTTCTTTCCATTTACAGTTAGCCTAGCAGCCAGATGCAAAAAACAGTGGCACCCACAGCTTTTCCAGTACTTAGAGCAGCAGCTAGGTCAGGTTGGACACTTGTAGCAGCTGCTTGGCGACATAGAACAAATGACATGCTGGATCCAGGATCTAGAGTCACAGGACTAATCATTCAGAATGGGTGTGATTGTACATATTAAAATTTGTTTCTATATGTATACATTGTTCGAGCGGAAAACAATGATTTCACTTGAACCACACGACCCACCTTAGATCCGCCTCTGCTGGGCTACGTTGGATGCTAAAAGTAGCAGCTTGATTTGTTTCAGCAGCATCCCTATCTGCTCGGCAACTTATGGCAGCAACCAGACCAACTTAACCACTTACAAGAGCAACATATCCAGCTTGACCACTTACAAGATAAGCAACCTGAGCACTTAAAGCAACTGCTTGGCCACCTAGAGCAGCAAGACCCGCAGCTACAATAGGAATAGAAGCACAATGGCCATATGGACTTCTTTCTTGTGTAATAAACAATATGGCAGAAAGGTTCGGTGGACTTCCCACTTCTGCAATAAACAATTTTATATTCCTTAAACACTAAAACACATGATTGCGAGCTCCGTATATCTAGAAATAAATGACATCTTCAACTTGCTCGTCCATAAGATAGAAAAGGAGGTTAATATATTACTCTCTCCGTTTCATATTAAATGATGTACTTTCCTTTTTAGTTTGTTCCAAAACAAAACAAATGACACATTTCTAAATTTGGAAATAATTCAACTTTAAACTCTTTCATTTTACCCATTTACCATAAATTAGAAGTTTTTATCGCCACACAAATATCATGGCCCCACAAACTTTTTACCCCTTAAGCTTTTAAGACCACAAGTTTTAAAAATCTTCTTTTTTTTTCTTAAACTCCATGCCGAGTCAAACTAACTCATATAATATGAAATTGAGGGAGTATTTGGAACTCAAGAGCAACAGAATCCCAAAATCATTGTGCTTATGAGACGTTAATGAGTAAGTGATCAAAGAAAGCTACAAACACCAGACCCAAACCGAACCCTTAAACACACTTGAACGGCTATAATTCTTAATTTCAGAAAAGATCTAGTGGATGAGGTGGAGAAATTAGAAATTGTATAAAAAGAAAGAGAAACGGTCTCAATGTGTGTACAATAAACTAAGAATATATGTATGTTTATTTTTAACTAGGACAACAATCACAAACATTGCTCAAGGGTGCTCACTTCCAAATCTTGATCTTTACTCTTGTTCTGCCAACTGCTAAAACTACACATAGTAATGTAGGCTAGGTCCATAAGTTTTAGCAATAAAACTTTCAATTGGACCGCTCAAGCTGAACTGCATGGTTTTGATGTTGTGCATGTTTTCACGCTTTGCTTTGCAGAATTCGTTAATATGATTAGATTTGTTGTTGAACTCTAAAATACCAATAATCATTCATGTAGTGGATGTAAGTTGGAGACATGAGAATGACAGACATTTTAACTTGAAAGACAAGTTAGATTGACTTGACCGCTATATTGGTGATGCTCACAGGAAATTAAATGTACACCCCTACACAATTAATGAAGCAAGATGTTTTGTATGACCTAGGGAAATAGCAGGGAAAAAAATGTACATGTGCTAACTATTGAAGTTTGGCAAATTTTTGTCCCACGTCGGTGGGCTCTTGAGTTTTGGGGGAATTTTCCCCCTATAAAAGAAGGCCTAATGTTTATGATTTAAACACACCTCTCATTTGCCTTCTCATCTGTTTAAGGCATTTGTATCTTCTCCTTTTAGTATTATTTCACTTGTATTTTGGAGTGAAATAAAATATTGGTTGTGTCCGAGGAGTAGG